TTGAACTTATTTTGAACTCTGTGTTGGTTTGGCGAAAAAGTAAAATACATCATAAATTTAGTAAAATGCATCCTAGTGGTATGGGCATGGAAGTTTCCCTTTGAGAGAATTTTTTGCTATGAGATAATAATGTTCCACAATACATTTTAGACAGCAAGCAATCGGTTCTTTCAGGGCATGAATAGCGTTCTAAAAGTTTGTAGCACTAGTGCTGAAACTGAGACGATGCTCAAGTTGTGAGAAAAATCCGTGAATGCAACAAAGAAAACCAAATACTTTCGTTTTTCCGCACCAACTGATGACCTTAATGCATTATTAAGCGATTTGTGCACTGGAATGAAGAAATGAAAGTCAGCAGGGTTGTCTAAAAATAGTGAATACACGTGGTAAAAGTGAATTTACTTTGCTCGTAGAGTTGTGCCACACTTCTTACTACTCGCAAAATTAAATGCCACTTTTATCACTAGTTTCACAATTAATTTGTTTCTCTGGATAATCAATTAGTACCGTGAATTAATGCTTGTTGTCATATTATTGAATTTTCTTAAAGAGATTTATGGGACATACTTTACATGCGAGTAGAAGAATAAGTACTACAGAGTCAATAATCAAATTTCATATTTTTTATTTTAATCTTAATATTGTACTCAGTATAAGATAGATTAAAATGTTATTTGCGAAATGAAACGTTGATAAATTATTTTTATCTGGGATAAAGAATTTAATACCTGCCGTGTATTTACAAAAGTTCACTTATAACAATTTAAGGGAAATTGAAAATCTCAGAAATTATTTGAATATTTTCCTCGTATGACACACTTCTCTTAACATACAAAAATGTCCTCCTTAGACGATTCGATCTTCACCTGGCCGTACTTCACTTTTGTCTCCAAGAAGAAATATCGCTTTCTTTCTCTTCTCTCGTGAAGTGAGAGCGCCGAGGAAAAGTCGTTGACACCTTCCCTTGACGCCAACTTTGTTTCCGAAACGAACGCAATGGAAAATTGTGTTTGAGACACCATTTTGAAAACTAAACTGATATCCAAAGAGGCAAAAAACGCGCTCGCGTGGGTGAAATCGCAGCTCTTCCGTTCTGGAGGAGGTGAAAACTGCTGCTTCGCTCTTTGCTATGCATCCGAGTGTTTTCAATTGCGTGATTCGCAAACAGCTCTCAGCGTTGAAGGCGCTGCAAGATCCACGCTGCTCCTGCGACCTCTTGCCCGCTCCACTTTCCGAGTTTTCTCTCCGGTCTTTTCTTGTTTTCATAAGATTTTTCGTAGCACTTTCTCTAACAACACGGCGAAGCGAAGGAGACGCAAATACGGCGACTTGGGACGTTGTTTGAAACGCTAGACGAGAGTCTAGGAGCCTGCCACTGTCGCGTGGCTATGATGCGGAGAAGTTTAAAAGTCGGTAGAAACGAGAGAGGGGAAAAATATGTTTAAAGGAAATTTTGTAAACTTACGCGCTAAACAACGGGGAAATGGGAATTCAATGGACTTAGAATACAACAATTATGAGAGGTATAAAGTAGTGTCTGAGTTGAAGTAAAGAATCTGATGATGTCCATATTAAGAAAGATAAAAGCGGTTCTTGGTCTTAAACTGTCTGATAATTTCAATCGGTCTCTCTAATGCTTTAATGAATAAATTAACAGTTAGTGTAATCTGTAAACAGGCGTAACGAATCACCTTTATACTAAGGGAAAATTACGTAATTTTTTTTTGAATGTGCAAAATAACATAGGACAATTGGAAGAATAAATAGTGTTATTAAAGCCTTTGTAATTTATTTCTGATATAGAATGCACGGACATTTCTTGACAAAAACCTTTTATTTGTTCTAGTGTTATATTTTATCTTATTAAAGAGCGCCAACGCCTCTACAATTTTCAATGAGAAGTATAAAATTTATTTCACTCAAAAATCACGTTCTAGGTCGCCAATCCACACGGTCACTAATCTACGACTCTACTCCTGTTTTATCAACCTTTAAGAAAGATTCTTCATAAACATTACGGCATATTATACAGATTATGAGTCAAGGTTTCAGTTTATATAAACTGAAAAGCTATCAATTGAAAAACTTAAAAAATGTATCACTATTATTTTTCTCTACTTATACATTTTTAAGTTTTAATAGTAAAACGCAGTATAAGGCTTATGAAGTTCTCGGAAGTTGAAAACGAAATCTCAGAAGTAGCTCCATCAGAGTTAACACTGCAAAAAGCATTCTTTGCCTGTCTCTAAGGTGTCATTCAATGGTTTTGAAGGTAGCCACAATTCGTCCGAAAATGTTTTATGTTGTATTAACTTACTTTGATGAAGATACATTGGGAGATTTCATGTAGTGCTCTAGAATATAGTACCAAATAATCATTAATGGTTTCACATACACGTCTTTATCGACAATTCAATGAACTGCAACCTTCACATGTTGCTGTGAGGGGGTTTTCGGCTGGAGGAGCTAGCTGCAAGTCGAGCTCTTGGATTGCATTGATTTGTCGATCACGTCTGCGTCTCGGAGGGCGGCGCGAGCGAAGTCTGCACTTCCTTCCTCCCTTCGTCTTCCTTTCGCCCCTCGGTCCATCGCCCCCTCCCGTTTCCTCGCTCGAACCGTCACTCGGCGCGGCCAAACAAGGAGAGCGCTCGAGGGCAAGGAATAAACATCGCGGGGGAGAGCGTGCGGATGCGGCGGTCTCGGAGAAACACATCCAGAGGGCGCACACGTCTCCTTAAATCACCTGAGGCGAATTCCCGGAAAGGCTGCGTTTCAACAGAATGTTGCCCTTGAGCGTCGTGCAAACTTCAACGTCTGTTTTGACATCAATGAAAATGTGTGCGTGTTTCCACGAGTTACACGTAATTCACATAAAACTATGTACGTTTCTATAAATTACTCCTCATTCACGTATCAGTTGCATACATACCTCAACAAAGTAAAAATTATACTAAGTAGCTTTCTTTCAGTAAAAATATTTCTCAAAAGATTTTATTTTAGAGAAACATACGCGTTACTTACAACAATATGTGTGCTCAGGGATTTACGAATAAAATGTTTGGATAGGTCTGAGAACGATTTTTAGGGGGGTCAAGAGAGGTTTAATGATAAACGTAAAATAATTTTTGATGGTGAATTTTCAATAGGCTAAACTGAGAAAAAATGTAGAAAATTAGGTAAAAATTCCCAACTAATTATGATGCGTTAAAGATATTTAAATTTTGAATTAGGACGCTAGTTTTCGAATGCAAATCTTGTTGATTCTCTTTAATATTATGAATTAGCCTCATTGCAATTATTTCGGATAATTTGTTTGTTTTTGTTTTCACTAATTACACTTTCAATGATTTACTGAATCATTTAGTCACCACCTAGACTTACAAGACTAGATAAAAAATAAAACCATTTGTGCAGTGTTTTGTATATCAATACGAATACATTATCCTTATGAATATGTGAGGTAGCAGAGAAACTTTTCTTTGTAGGCAGACATTTTTTCTAGATCATTCTTCATCTTCATCAGTTCTTGATATATCAGGCGGTTATTTAATTTTAAAAACGTTCATCCTCATTGACATTGTTTATAGGTAATTCATCTTCTTCTTTTCTCTTTCTTCTTCTTCTTTTCATTTTCTTATTCTTCTGTTTCTTTTCATTGTCTTCTTCTTCTGTTTCTTTTCATTTTTTTCTTCTTCTGTTTCTTTTCATTTTCTTCTTCAAAATCTAGAAAATTTTGTTTGTTCCGTGAAAAAGGAGATCATCTCTCCATCGTCTTCTTCTGGGTCTATCTGGATTTCTAGTTGCTTATGGTGCGTAGTGGAGGAGCTTTTCGGTAGCCTATCACTAGTCAATCATTGAATGTACTGGAACCATTTCTTTTTTCGCTCTAGAATTTTTCTGTCAAGGTTAAAGACAATTAATTGCTTTCTGACATATTCGTTTCTTCTGGCGTATAGAAGTGCATGTATAGATATATCTGACAGGTGTTTCTGCAGTCTCAAATTTCCTTTTATCCAAGCGATTGATTCTCAAATTTTCACATCCACATTCAATTATGGAAAATCCGCCTGGTAAAATTTCATATGTGTGTTTTCCTTACTTTGATCGTAAGTTTTCAATCACCAAGGAAGTATTTCATATGAAATTTTGTATTGTCGTTACCGATTTGCTGGCAACATACAGTATAATTTTCAGTATCGTCGTACCATTTCTCCCTCTATATTCTCTTTAAGACTCTTTGCGTGCAGCATCCCATCTTACGAGCGTGAATACATGCGTTTCCGCGAAGTTGCAGTATTGTTCATTTTTATTTCTTCCAACGGTGACAGGCTTTTATTGCTATTTTATTACGTGATTCATTATTTGATCTTTATTATGTGACTGAAAACCAATAGCAAAAAGTTTAACTATTTAGTCATTTTTACGTAATGTTAAATAAAATACACTTCAAAGAAAATATATTTCTAGTGAAAGTATTCTACTTGATTTTCATCACGCGGTACGAACTAGAAATTACCAAAACTGGAGTTCTGTAATGATGCGTTCATAGTAGACGATGTTCCAGACGTTTTAGGAACTAAGGTTTTTTAAGATATTAAGACAATTTAGTGATTTTATCGATGTTTCAACGACTTCTTTTGTGAAGCTCAGAGACACTTGAGGAGTTTCAATTAATGGGATTTAATTCGCTTTCGTTTCTGTACTCTCGCCTTTACTTAAAGGATGATTTACCCTTCGTTTTAATAGAACAAACTAGGAGGAACCCGAGATAGTGATTTGTATGGTCTGATGCATATTTCAAATGGATACGTGGATATGTGCTACGAAGCAGATAATTACTTCATCACGTTAACCTCTTCGTCCAGGTAATAAAACTAATTTACACCTACCTCAAGTCCGTTTAATCGTATGAGTACACTGGCATGACATCGACGAGTGTTTGCCGTGAGAAACGTGTCATAAAGTATGCTGTAAAATGTGGATGATGCTTTTGTTTTTAGGTTCTTGAACACTTGTCGACTTGAATTTTAAGTGTCTCCAAATTCAATTACCATGTCCATCCACGACATTGTTGAGTAATTTTAGAAGTACTTCGCATTGCTTTATATTACATTTAATGTTTTTTACGCTAATGTTCATAATTTTTTGTTAGTTCGTTAGACATTTCTAAATACGTTTCACTGGAACAGTTTTCAGACGAATGAGGTAAACGTTTATTAACAAATTTATTGTGGAAAATTAAGAACGACACATAGAATACCTATAAGAAACGTAGTATGACATTCCTTGTTATTAGGTATGAAGAATTAAAATCATTTAGAACAATGAAATGTCACTGAAATGTCCAAAAACACGATCGCAAACATACAGGAACGTCCATACAGCACACACCCGTGAAATCCTTCATACGCCTTCCTTCCTTCTTTCTTTCGGAAGGGTAGTAATGCCGGCTGCCCCATGTTATAGACTTACTATATGTAAACGATCCTGAACCTTGAAAGAAGTCGCTGAGCAATTTTCAAATGGCCTGTTTCGTCGCCTGAGTGTAAACCTCGTTTCTCCACCAGACGTTGAAATTGCGTCAGGCGGAAGAGGAGGACTGATGGCCTGAACACCGCCTTGGAAAATAGGGCATATTGAATTAAATTGAATTGAATTGAACAGGCATAAAGTTTTCTCTCAGAACGAAGGAGAGGTATCTTAGCAACGTGTGCCCCTCCACTGCTCATTTGTGCCGGGCGTCTCCAGCCTCTCTCGCAGAGCGCAGCGGGGGGCGGCGGTGGCGTTGGCGGTGGCGGTGACGATGGCTGCAGCGGCGGCGGCGGGGACGGTGGCAGGGGCGGTGGCGACCGTGGCAGTGGCGCGCAGCGGCGATGGCGGGGGCGGGGCGGCAGGCGTTTCGCGAGGCGTCGCGGCGGTGCGCTTTGACACGCGCTGCGACTTCTCCGCCATTTGCATTTGAATGCGGACGCCGGTGCGCCCGAACGCCCAGCGAGCGCGCCTGCAACGCGCGCGGGGGAGGGGGGGGCGTGAAGCGGCGAAAACGGCGCGCGCGTATGCGGCGTCGCGCCGGGCACCGCTGCAGCGGGCCCCCCCCCGCCTCCCACAGCCTCCCGCTGCATCGGGAGAGAAGCAATTAACCGCCGCGGCGCGCTTTGGTGAAACGCAGCCGCCGCCGCCGCCTTCTCAGCGGAAGCCACGTGGTATGTGGTGGCGCCGCCTGGTGTCGTGGTTAGGCTCGTACCGTTCTGCGCGCTATTCGCCGATTAATTAATTATTGTTCATTAGCCACCGGATATTGAATCCGGGCGCGTCAACTATTAAGGGCAACGGTCTTGTAAGTGTATTGTATGTTATATGGCGGGAGGGGGCGGGGTGATACCTGGAAACCGGCGGAGGTAGTTCAGCTGATGCCACGCAGTACATCTGTCCCGAGAGTGGCATGATTTTCGACACTAGCTTGAGAGCTAGATCAATTTCAGCCTCTGCCTGGAGGAGGGTTCTCGTGGCCGGCTTCTTTAATCGGAAGTTTTCTTTGCACCCTCTAATCACCATCAGGAACATGCCGGAACACGGAACCAAAACAAACGGGCCACGTAACACGTGCGATCTTTCCTTCCTCTTCCTTGTCCTATTCTTATCGTTTACTGACTCACACACACACACACACACACACACACACACTTATACGCACTACTCTGCCACATGAGAGAACAGCGCTTGTGCTTGCTGGTGCGTTGACCCGCTGGTGGACGATACGTGATTGTTAAAAGCCCCACTAGCCGAAGAATAGTTCGACGCCGCATCGTGCCATCGATCAAGAGAAGGACATAGGCAACTCCCATAATAAAATTATGCACTACACTTACGGGAACAATGGTTAAAGAATTTGACGCACACGAGAACCTGAGCGAGGTTGCGTGCTTAGTAATTCTGGGCTCGTCAACGGCGCAGGTTATTAATCCCGTAAGTATAGTGCATGACTTCAACACACACACGCGCGAAGGCAGTGATCTTCGCCCGCCAGATTGCGAGATCCGGCGCTGACGTATGTCGACTGGCGGGAATTTTCCCTTACCAGGTATCTCCCTCTAGCATGCCACCGCACCAGCCAGCACAAGCTCTAAGCTCCCGGCTGGTCTCCCGACATGTATTGTAGTGTAGTGCATGTGAGTGTAAGTGCGTGTAGGTACAGGGTGTGGAAAGGACAACGAAGCGGAAGGAAACATCGCGCGCGGTCCGTGGTTCGCTTATTAGGGTGCTGCTCCAGCATTCGACCGGTACTGATCGAAGGAACCATGGAAAACTACCGATGAGAGAAGCCGGCCGCTAGATTTCTCCGCCGGACAGTTCTGGAAGATTCAGAGCCTGTCTGCCAGCTTGCAACATGTTTCTCCTCCCAGATATCTCCCCCAGCGGTACAGCATCTAAGCTACCGACTGGTCTTCCGACATGTGCTGTAGTGTAGTGCACGTGTGTGTGTGCATGTATGAGAGTGTATGTGTAAGCGGAGCGGAAGGCACCAGGGTCAGGAAGAAAATACTGTACACTGTGCGTGGTGCGCTAGGGTACTGCTCCAGGATTCCTCTGGCACATATCGGGAAAGCATAAACATCCACCACAGAAGCCGGTCGTTAAAATTTCCATCTAGGCGGCAGTTTAGTTCGGCTCAGCTCTGTACCAAACGTCGAAAATCCACCCTCGATGGGACTCAAATACTAGACACAGTTTCAGTAAGAACTGCTGAACGCTGTTGCTCATTGGTGCGAATGATCAATAATTTTTCTCTGCAATTCGCCTTAAGTACAGCGAAAGCAATATTCCACACCGTCTGGCTCTGTTGATAAGAGCTCGTTGTGTTAAACTTGAAACTGTTTGGCTGCTCATTTTGCGTTACATGCGGTTGCATTGCTAGATCTCATAACTAGACTCGTACAGAATATACTGTTCTGGTAGATTATTTATTGGAATAATTCGTGCCTCGCCTCTCCTTTGCGCTTCACTCTCCGATAATGCTCCTCACTTCGGGAACCGCTATGCCATTGTGTTTATTTTATTTAGTTACGGAAACGTGTCAAGACAAACAGGAAATTTTAGGATAATTATAATAGAAGAAAGAAACAAATAAAAACACGAGTGATGGTACAGTCTCAACAAAAAGACGTATTTTCTGAACAAAAAGACATATTTTCTGAATTCGGTTCTCTATTTTTTGTCAATGACACTTAATGCATGGCTAATAGATTAATTGTTCGGGTACAAGTCGATTCTGTGCTTTCTCGTTTGTGGACGTCGTTTATGTATGTCAGAGAATATGGAATGCATTGCCATAATGAATGCGAGTAATTCCTACTCAACAGCTTAATTAGACATCTTCGCCTAAAAATATATAGTTCGTTTTCTTAAGGCAGAAAAGAATTTATAAAGTGAGTGAGGCAAACTCCAAACATTAGTGGGGCTTTAGAGTGGCGCAGCCATCACCTTTAACTAGCGGTCTTTTTCGCGAAGTTCCGAGCTGACTTGGTCGGTTTTCCGGGCGCGCCAATACCTCCGTCGGTTTTCGAGAAGGCCGCTCTCATTACCTTAATGGCCCATTAATTGTAAAGTTTCCAGTTTAGGTCGAGCCAGGTGGTGAGGTTTTCTTGTTCTTTTGAAAGTTTCGAGATGGGAGCAGTTTCCGTTCTGGTTGTGTCTCAAGGAGGCGCCCTTCACTCTGAAAAGCCACCGAGGTTTGTTCGCTCGCTACTGGATAAACTTTTACGTCTAACCGGTTGACGGGATTTTAACAGATGTAAAACTGTCTGTGTCTGATTCATAAAATACGAACGTAAGTTATACCCAATAATGTGTGTTCTACACGAAGAATTAGAATGTGCTAATGATGGTGAAGATATAGAAGTACTTGCATAATAATTTCCTTGTGGACAATAACGACAGAGATTTCTCAGATGGATTGTAGTATTTTAAGATGACAAATTCATGTTGGTAATGAAAGCAGAGGTCAGTGAAATGAAAAATAGGAGGTGAACGTTGTGAACTATGACTACAAAAGACTAGACCGAAGCAGTTGGAAATCATACAAAAGTATCGTTCCGTCAGAATGAAGGATACAGTCTTGTTAATTATTATAATCTTTAACATCTGTTGTGAGAGATATTTATGTATAACTTTTTCCAGTGCTTAATTTCAGAAATCTTAAATTTTCATTCAAATAATGTAGTAAGAGGGGTTTAGAACTTTACCTAATATACCTTCCTGGTAATGTCACTGGTGAAAACTGCCGGTATTAGATAGAGAGTATTTGAGAAACGTAATTCGATGGCAGATACGTCAGCAACAAAACCGACCAACCGCCCTTCATGCAAATAGAGGAGATTCGCTGCGAGCATTCGCGTGAATCTAGAACATCGATAATATTGCTTATGAATCTGCATTCGATTTATAGCAGAGGTCGCAGCCTCTCCTCGCGTCTCTTCGGAACGCCTTAAGGAACTTAAGGCGCTAATTGATGTCACTGCAGTGCCTCTGACCGAAGTCGTAGGGTTCCAGTCCCAACGTTGGGAGGATTTTCGACACTAGCTACGCAGATCGAATTCAGTCGCTGTCTGGAGAAGAATTCTTGCGACTCGCGGCTCTGATCGGTAGTTTTCCGTGGTTTCTCCGATCAAAATACTGGAGCAGTATCCTACGGACCATGCTTGTCCCGGATCTGGAGGTGCCACTGTGGTGGGAGACACTTGGCGTCAGGCGGCGTCTGATCACTCGCAGCGGGGGAAGATCACTGACCCTTTCCGCGATGGAAACATGCTTCACACTTACGGGACGTAAGCACTAATCAATCTCTGCCTTCGCCTCTCCCCCACTCTATCCGCGTCTTGCGGCGGCCATGGTTGGCGTATCGGACTGTTATACCCAAGTTGGCCGGTTCAAACCCGATCGAAGCCGTGGATTTTTAAGGGCGAAAAATCCTTCGTACGCCGTCCTTCGGAGTAGAAGTAAAGTCGGCTGTCCCATGTTAGTAGATTTACTTG